TCATCTGACTTGCTCCAGCTAGGTGGTGTGTTTTTCCATTGATCTTTTAGTGATTGGAGGGCTGCAGCTGCACCATTTTAAGCAACAAAGTAGAACAGCAAAATAAATGAACAACATTCAGTGTCTTTTAAGCAACAAAGACACAGCTGCACCAATCAGTGTCTTTTAGGCAACAAAGTAAATAAACAACAGTACACAGCTCCCATATTGATCAAGATCGGATATATTAATTTGTTAGGTACTAAATGCTTGACAATGCAAAACAGAAAGATTCAAATACTAAAGAAAAGAGGACGGGGAGGAAGGAGGTTGCAGGCTGTACCATCTCCGGGATCAGTAAGAGACGAGATTAAGTAAATTTCAGCAAAACCCACCAGACAAAGCAGCAACAGTCTGATTGTTGCCACCATGACTGCTTGCAGCAGATTAAGTTTAATTTTGGGAAATTTAGCTAGAAAAGAGCAACAAGTCGTAGCATTATAATAATGGCCATTGCCTTGCACTTGCAGCTTGATGTCATCAGACACACTAGTGATTATAGTTGGCCCTCTTCTTCAACTTCCACTCATCTTTACTTATCTTGAAAGCTACTCTAACCATCACTTTTGCTAGTGTTACTATAAACATGGCACGGTGCAAATTTGCCAACCCCGACTTTTGAAAAAGCGTCTTCATAATTACTTATGCCGTTTTTTAAGCTAATTGATTTTTAAGTATTCACCAAGTCACCTATTCTACTGTCACTATTTCAGTGACTTCAATCTACTAATTAATTATCCCGTGCAACTTTGGTTGAATTTCTTACGTAGTACTTGATTCAACTAAATTCTCTTTCAATCAGAAAATGAATTCTTCACCAAAATTACACTCAGCTACAATTAATCTAACTCCAAAAAAAAAAAAAAAAAAAAAAAAAACACTTATTACAGAGTTCTACTAAATTAGATGATTAAAAGATAAATATAATCTAACAAAATAGCACACATGAATCATCAAAATGTGATTATATTTCAAATATTGATAAAACTTAAGTGGATTATCCATTTGTCCGTAATTATTTTGATATCATGTTCCGTAATTAACATAGCCTTATTTTAGTAATTAAGGCCTCAAGCCTTCGAAGCTACGGAGTACGGAGTAGTAGTTGAAGGTGTGCATATAAATGAGTCATGAATGGAGATGCCTCCACAAAAAACAGCCGGTTTACCTCTCCGACTCGCAGCCCCTTGGATAAGTCATCATCACTACTGTTGGCCGCAACCACGTCAATGTAAGACTTGTAAAATGCGGTTGCCTTGGAATCAAATTCGAAATTTTGACTCCCTCGCTCTATTAACTCTGCCCAAGTCACTGTCACCGTCGCTGGCTGCCCCTTTTATGCACTGGCATTGGGATTAAAATCCCAGATTTCCTACCCTAACACCTTTGCGGGAGGCAAAGGAAATGGGAAAATTCAAGTTCGAGATAAACATGGAAATAAATGGGAAACCTGTTTGAAAACCAAAAACAGAAAACAAGAAAAAAGTGTTTCCACTTTCAATTGTCAGTTTTTAAAATTATCATGATTTTAATAAATTTAAATAATTTTTGATTCATTATAGGGCTTATATCATATACTTTTAAAAACCAAAAAAATAGAAAACCACAATATTGCCAAACGAATCATAACTTATTTTATTAACAATAATGTCGTGGCGTTATTAATTTGACAAGTGTTTCGTTTTAATTGGTTTAACACTTTAAAAAAATTTAAAAATGATAATGTCATCAATTTCTTAAAGTGCTTACATGTCAAACTCTCATAAAAAAAATTCAATTGTATATATATATATATATAATAGGGTCGGGATCCGGTGAGAACCACCCTTTATGTGAGAACCCACACCTTATGTGAGAACAAATCTCAGCCGCTAGATTAGATGAAATCCAACTGCTGAGATTATAAGCCTGCCTACAAACTAACTTTCAGCATCTAATTAATATCTCCCCTCTATTCTGTCTGCAAATCAAAGCTCATCAATGGCGATTTACTTATCAATGGCGATTCACTGAGTATGCTCTTCTTTCGACAAATTTCAGCGGTTTCTTTCTGCAATTTTTAACGGTTTCTTTTTGCAAATTTCAACGGTCTCAATTTCATCCATCATTGAGGTTTGTTCGTAATTTTAATTTTGAATTGCATGTTAATCTGAATATTCAATATATTTTGATTTTACATCTCTGAAAAATTTGGAATTGCATGTTAATTTTCGAATTGAATTACATGTTAATTTTGGAATTACATTAATCGAATTGAATGTTTAATTGCATCAATTATTTGATTGAATTGAATCAATTATTTAGGTTTGATTAATTTGATAGAGATTTTAATAATATCAGATTAAACTTTATAGTGATTGAATCAATTATTTATGTTCTTATTTTCAATCAAATTCAAAATGAGCAAATAAATTAAAATGAGCAAACCTAAATATATATAATAGAACATTTAAAAATGAAATGAAATGAGCAAACCTAAATATGTATAATAGAACAAAGTGGATATGAAATGAGTAAAGTGGATATGGAATGAGCAAAGTCATATAAAAATGAGCAAATTGAACTTTGCTGTTATTATGTTCTTATTTTCAATCAAATTCAAAATGAGCAAATAAATTAAAATGAGCAAACCTAAATATGTATAATAGAACATTTAAAATGAGGTAACTACAATTAAAATGAGCAAATATTAATGACATTCATAAGTAATTCAAGGATCTATAAGTTTGGCAAATATTAGCTTGTAAAAACACTAAGTATACAGAATTGTGTATGTATGTGTGTGTGTGTGTGTGTGTGTGTGTGAGTATGTGTGTGTGAGTGAGTGTAACAGTGTGTCTGTATGTGAGTGTGATTGTGAGTGTGATTGAGTGTAAGAGTTTATATATGTGGGCATTGAATTGCATGTTCATTTGACAAATGAGCAAACCTATCCCCCCCTGCCCCCTCCTCTTTCTGCTTGCAATTCTGATTTCAAAAACTGATTTCAGTTATAATTATAGATTATGAAATTATTGAGTGTGTGTGTGTGTATGTGTGTGTGTGTGTGTGTGTGTATCTATGTCTGTGTGTGTGTAAGTTTGTTTAAGAATCTGATTTCAGTTCTAATTATTAAGAGTGTATGTGTGTGTTTAAGTGTGTTTAAGGAGGTGCATATTCACAAATGATGAGCAACAACGAGCAAGTTGAGAGTCAATCAAGTACCATCACAAATGTGCCAACTACTCCTACAATAGTAGTTTCTCCTAAAGTAGCACCTTTGATCACTCCTGGAGGAACAAAAGAATGGCATCCAATATGCCCCAATGAGTTGAAACCAACTATAGGGATGAAGTTTAATAATCTTGAAGAGGGCCTTGAATTTTATAAAGGCTATGCATTTGCTTCTGGCTTCAATACAAGGAAGTCTACAACTAAAAGACAAAGAAGAAGCAAGGAATTAAAATATCAGTATATCTTGTGCAATAAGGAAAGATACAAAGAGAAAAGAAAGACTACTGTAGAAAAAGATTTAAATAACAAGGAAGGGGAAAACAATGAAGAAAAATCTTCAATCAAAAGGAAGAGACTCGTTACTCGTGTTGGGTGCAAGGCACATATTGTCCTAAAGCATTGTGATGATAACACATTCATAGTGACAAAATTTCATGAGGGACATACTCATGCACTTTATACACCTAGCTGCAATCTATTCCAAAAAGAAGGAAGGAAAATGAACATTTTACACAAAAAAAATAATTGTGAATAATTCTAAGGTAACACTTTCAAATTCTCTTATGTTTCATGAATTCTATGTATGTTCTAATAAAAGTTGTTTGCTCATTTGACAAATGAGCAAATAATTTTTTGCTCATTTGCCAAATGAGCATTGAATTATTTCATGAATTCTCTTATGTTTCAAATTCTCTTATGTTTCATGAATTCTCTGTATGTTCTAATAAAATCTGTTTGCTCATTTGACAAATGGGCAAATAATTTTTTTCTCATTTGACAAATGAGCATTGAATTGTTTGCTCATTTTAAAAATGAGCATTGAATTATTTGCTCATGTGACAAACTGTTTTGTTCTTTAAATAGGTAAATATTGGTCCTGTTACAACTTTTCGAATGATGAAGGAAATTGTTGGAGGATATGAAAACATTGGTGCATCTAAGGAAGATTTCAAAAATTTTCATAGAGATTTAAAAGCATACATTCAAGGAAGCGATGCTCAAATGTTCGTGAATAACTTTACCAACAAAAAGCTGATGTGGAGCGCTTTTTTCTTTGATTTTGAGATGGATGAAGATTATTGCCTTTGTAGAGCATTGTGGGTAGACCCCTTTTGTAAAAAGAGTTATGCTCTATTTGGTGATATGGTATCCTTTGATACCACATACCAAACCAATAGGTAATTCATTTATGTGTTATTACTAGCTATGGCTGAAATTAATGACTTTGTTTTAAATAAAATTAGTTTAATTGCTCATTACTTCTATGTGAAAATTGAATATCCCCATAAGTCTAATATTCTTTGATAAGAGTATGTATATGGGCATTGAATTGCATGTTCATTTGACAAATGAGCATTGAATTATTTGCTCATTTGACAAATGAGCATTGAATTGTTTGCTCATTTCACAAATGTGCATTGAGTTATTTGCTCATATGACAAATGAGCATTCAATTATTTTCACATTTGACAAAAGAGCAAAGAATTGTTTGCTTATTTCACAAATAAGCATTGAGTTATTTGCTCATTTGACAAATGAGCAATCGATTATTTGATAATTTTTCAAATGAGTATTAAATTATTTGTTCATTTAAACTTTATTTTGTATGTGTAAACAGGTACAACATGGTGTTTACTCCATTTACAGGCGTTGACCATCATAAGAATTGCATTAATTTTGCTGCTGGTTTCATAGCAAAGGAAGATATCGTGTCATTTGAATGGCTGTTCAGATCATTCCTCAAGGCAATGGGTGGGAATGAACCTAATTATATGATCACAGATCAGGATCCAGCAATGAAAATTGCTATTAGAAGTGTGTTTAAGAAGACTGAACATCGGTTCTGTATGTGGCACATAACGAAAAAGTTACCAGATAAGGTGGAGAAATCAATCATGCAAGAAGAAACTGGTTTCCTAAAAAAATTATGTGCTTGCGTTTGGCACCTTGAAATTGAACCTGCTGAGTTTGAAGAAAGGTGGAACAAGGTGATAATTGAATACCACTTGGAACAACATGAATGGTTAGGTTATATGTACAAGATAAGAGACAAGTGGATTCCGGCCTATTTTAGAGATGTGTTCCTTGGAGGAATAATGCGTACAACATCAAGATCCGAAAGTGAAAACAACTTTTTCTACTCCTTTACCAATCCTCATGTGTCACTTGTTGAGTTTTACTTGAGATATGAAGCTGTAATTGATGCCTAGAGACACACTCAAGGTCAGAATGATAATGATTCAAAGCACAAATATCCTGAGTGCAAAACACCACTAGGGATAGAAAAGCATGCCTCACATTTATATACTAACTCTGTCTTTTATGAATTTCAATACGAGGTTGAAATTGCTTGTTTTCTTGTGGTGTTGATGAATTGAAGAAAGAAAATGAATTGGAAGTTGCAACAGTAAGTGAAGGAAATCGGACTAGAACACCTGATGTTGTGTTTAATCCAACTAACTATGACACCACATGTTCTTGCAAGCTATTTTATAGGCAAGGAATTCCATGTAGACATATGATTTGGGTTTGGAAAGCAAAAAGGTTTGAAACCATTCCCAAGCAGTATATGCTACACAGGTGGACTACTATGGCATTAAAGAAACCAATTTTTGACTTGGGAGGAAACCTGTTGGAGCAATGTGCTAATATAATAGACAAGAAAAAATTGTTAAATGATTTATGGTCAGAGATACACACTTGTGTAAGTTTGGCAGAAGGCAAAGATGAAGATATTCAAGACCTTGTGATAAATCTTCAAGGAATAAGAAAGGATTTGGAAGCAAAGAGGATTGCAAGAAATAATGAAACAACAGCTGGAAGTGCAAAAAACAAAGAGCAAGACATTGAGCTATTGATTGGAGCTAGTGTGCCAACTGAAATAATTGTCAAACCTCCAAAAGTTTCAAAGAATAAAGGGACTGGAGTTCATGTATCAAATGAAGAGACTTCAAAAAAGAAAGCGAGTGAGACTAATGTGTCAAATGTTGAAACAAGAGGTAGAAGTGCAAAAAGGCTTAAGGGAGAAAAAGAAAAGGTTGTAGAACAAAACCAAAAAAAGAAGAGATTATGTAGAGGTTGTGGTGAATTGAGTCATCATGATATTAGAAATTGTCCAAAAAAAGTGTAATGGTACTTTTATATACATATAAGATTTTGTTGAATTTTTATATTTAATAATATATTACTAATTTTGTACTAATCATAGTTTAATGCTTTGCAATATTGTTGAATTGAAAATAGAACATATTCAAATGAGTGACTAAATATTTGTTCATTTCTCAAATGAGCAATAATTCCTTGCTCATTAATCAAATGAGCAAATAGTTAACTACTCATTTTGTCAAATGAGCAAATAATTATTTGCTCATTTGGCAAGTGAGCAAATTAGCTATTATATGAACTTGTAACAATTGCACTCTTGTTTCATCTCCCAATCCAAAATCAGCTCTCCTTGGGTCAAATGAGCAAACATATCTTTTCTCAATCATCAAATGAGCAAGTAATTCCTTGCTCACTTAGCAAATAATCAAAAAAGGTAAAAGCTCATTTCTTAAATGAGCAAACATTTCTTTATTCATTTATCAAATGAGCAAGAAATTCTTTGAACATTTATCAAATGAGCAAGAATGCATTGATCTATCATTTAATGAGCAAACATCTGTTTGCTCATTTAACAAATGAACAAATATTTCAAATGAAAACGGCTATATATAGCAAGGTATGTGAAGTAAAAACAAATAAAAGATTGAATTTTAATTCAAATATAATCATCACTATAGTAAAAAAGGGTAGGCTTCTATTGGTAAAATTTGTTTATAAATCAGTTTTACATCATTCAAAGACTACTTAAAAGTAGATAAAATCTTAATTTACCCAATTCCCTAAACCAAAAAAGACAAATCATCACTACTAACTATTTAATTCCCTAACATTCAGCTTTCTTCAGTCTTTTGCTCTTTCTTCCTTGAACTTTTTCTTCTTTAGGCTCTTCTTTTTCAGCATTTTCTTCTTTGTCAGCAACAGAAACTTTACTTTTCTTTTTCTTCTTCTGAGCAATTTCTTTAACAGATTGAATAGTGTTCACTTCACTTGTAATTATTCCCAGGGTGTACTTTTCACGAAGTTTAGTCAAGATTATCAGCTGCAAAACAAATAACATAATCAAACCCTATACAATTAAGGAGATTTCAATAACATGAGAAAACATGTAAAAGTAACACCACAAGTTGCAGTTGTAACTTGTAAGGCAATGGCCTACGGTATTGCTAGATTAATGGACAATAGACCTCAAAATTAAAGTAAACATTTGATAGGAATCCTTGCTCATTTATGAAATGAACAAGTAAATCCTTGCTTATTTGTCAAATGAGCAAACATTTCTTTTCTCATTTGATAAATGAGCAAGTAATTTCTTGCTCATTTAGCAAATAATCAAAAAGTTAATTGCTCATTTCTTAAATGAGCAAAGAATTAGTTGCTCATTTGTGAAATGAGCAAACATTTCTTTGTTCATTTATGAAATGAACAAGTAAATCCTTGCTCATTTGTCAAATGAGCAAACATTTCTTTGCTCATTTGATAAATGAGCAAGTAATTTCTTGCTCATTTAGCAAATAATCAAAAAGTTAATTGCTCATTTCTCAAATGAGAAAAGAATTAGTTTCTCATTTGTGAAATGAGCAAACATTTCTTTGTTCATTTATGAAATGAACAAGTAAGCAAATAGACCAAAACATCTTATTATTAATGAGACTAATCTGAAAGACTTACATTATTTTTCTTCAAACCAGGATCCCACTTTGCACTACCCATGTATGTTTCCATGAGTCTCATCACTGCAACTCCACAATGCAAATGATTTTTATCCGAAGACTTCCATGAACCATTAATCACAGAAATTTCCATCCGCTTGATATCATTTGCCAAAATAGAACTATGTACATTTGCTTCACATTGAATAAAGTTTGAAAAAGCAGTTCTCTGAAAATAAAAACATCAAATAAGCAAACATAATAAAATCTGATCATTCAAGTAAAAGAAACAAACATAATGTGAATAGAGATTAACTTTTAAGCCATACCAAATGTTTTAAAAGCTGTTTATGATCTCCAGCATCTTCGTTATAATAAAAAAGCTCGATATTATCATTCAGTGTGGTAGTGTTAAAACATACCAAATAGTAATGATCTTCTTCATAAACTGGGAAGAAAAAAAGATGAATATCCTTGTGTGGTACAACTGATTTCATGTACGAATTCTCAGCAACCTCAAAAAACATCTTATTCCGATGGGAAACAGAATCTATCTCATAGTGAATAAGACAGTCCTACATGTTAAAGAAAAAACAAATTAATTACAACAAAAAAACAAAATAATTGAATAAAACAAAATAAATGAAAAAATTTGAACTTACGGTAGCACTAAGGTCAAAAAAGAAACGAGCAGGAGAATTCGGATCTCTAAACTGCTCATTATAATTCAGAATGCTACACCAAGCATTAATGATCTCTGTATCAACTTTATATTTATTATAAAGCTTCTCAAGATGTAATCTCAAAATTTCAAGACCATTCTCTCCATTAAATACTGGTTCACTGCATAAAAAGAATAAAGAAAGTTAGTATGACTAAAACAAATGGAAGTTAATGTACAAGATAATAAATTCTATAGATAAAAAAAATACTTACAAACAATTTTTATCATCAGCAAACATTGCTCTCAAGATGCTCATCTGAACTGGTGATAATGGATTGTAAATTATCATAATGCGGGACTTAAAAGGTGATCTAAGAAGCACTGATGGATGAGGTTTGCGTTTCTTTGGAATATAACTCTTCTTTTCAGTATCACCTTTTCTCTTATGCACAATTAAAGCTTCTTGAGCATCAGAAATGAGATATTGAGGATTAGCAATCAGAGCATCACCAACAGCTTGAGAAGCATCAGCAACAGAAGCACCAACTTGTGCAATGACAGAAGCAACTACAGGTTTAGTAGGCGCATTGCTAGGGGGAGAATCAGTTTCTTGAGAAAAGACTCCTAAACTGAATGTAAGAGTTCCAGATCCTTGGGCAAGTGAATGTCCTGAAGCAGATTTGAAACTTGAATCTCCAATTTTTTTGAACACATTTTTAGCAGCCCTATCTGAACATCCAACATCAGGGATACAACTTGCTATCTGAACACTTTCAGAAGCAATCTTAGTAACATCAATGGGTTCAGATTCATTTGGATGAACAACCATTGCATTGATTGAAGATTCAGCATGCTTTTTGTTGCTTGAAATCTCAGAAAACCTATCCCAAGCTTCAATTACTGCTGGATCTTGTCAATACTCTTCATCTTGGCTAAATGAAAGAGTATTATCTTCAGTCAAAGTTTTGGAGCTCATCTTATGCTCATCACAAATGCCCATGGCATCTTCCTTCAACTTTTGTATCTTCTCGTTGTTTGGAAAATACTTGATGGCAGTTTCATGTTTTTGACTGAAATACATGTATGCCAAGACCAGGTTTGTAGATGCTGTTGCAAGCTCCATAAGGCATTTCTGTAAAAAAAAAAAAAAAAAAATACATAAATAAGATAAATATAAATGAGAAGAGTAAATATGAAATGAGCAAAGTGGATATGAAATGAGCAAAGTGGATATGGAATGAGAAAAGTCATATAAAAATGAGCAAATTGAACTTTATTTGAGCATTGAAGTTTTTGCTCATTTGACAAATGAGCAAAAAATTAATTGCTCATTTGACAAATGAGCAAAAAATTAAGAACTATAATGCTCCTACTCACAAGAAATATCCACATATTTATCATATATGAGTTTCACAAGATTGCAGTAACCAACGACCAACATTTACATAAAATACTTTTTCTATATTCATGAGATGCATATGAGTAATGCAAAAGCACACATATGGCCACTTGCCTCTATGCATCATACTGAGAAGAACTCTAAAAATGAACAAAAAATTAATATTGGTTTCCAGAAAACTCATATAAATACCTTCTTTGGATCTTGTTCACTTTCTTCATTTTTTGTACGAATTGGATCAGATTGTTCCTAAAGACAAACAAAAACAAAAAAAAAAAAAAAAGAAAAATAAAGTTAGAACAAGTTGAAAGCAAATATCCTAACAAATATAAACCAAGCTTACTTATAACACATAACCAATTACATAATTTGCTCATCTGTCAAATGAGCAAAAAATTATTTGCTCATTTCAAATATGAGCAAGTAATTGCTTACTCATTAGACAAATGAGCAAAAATTAGTTGGTCATTTCCAAAAAGAACAAAGAATATTACAGTATATAATACCTTATTGGCAACTACTTGAGTTTCTACTTCAGAAGGAATGAATTTTTCCTAAATAAAAAACAAAAAAGTTAAAAAAAGTAGGATAAAAAGGAAAAGAATAAAACAGAAAATTATAGTTAAACACCATTTTAGGCTGTGTCATGCTAGAAGAACCAGCATCAAGCTTTTTAGCACGAATATTTCCAAGCCTCCCTTTAAAGAGTTCCAATTTCTCACGTGTAGACAACATAGCTGTTGTCCACCCTTTCAAGATTGGAATTTCACGTGCAGCTCGAACTTCCTCAAGTACAAATTGATCAACATATAATAACTACAAACAAGTAAGAAAAGAAAAATTAGTAAATTAAAAATCAACAAATAAGTAAGAAATACTACATTAAAAATAAACAAAAATTATAGTAATACGATAAGAAACAATAAAGACCCAGGAAAAGAACGAGTTGGACGTTCTTCCCATAAAAGCTTGCCCTTCACGAGAGAAGCAAGGATATACTTTGACCAATTCAAGTCCTTGATTTTATCAACATCAGAAAGAAATGTAAGAATATCAGAATTAATATTCATGTTTTGTTTCCCTGACAAAAAAAAATAAGCAAAACAAAAGAGAAATGAGCAAATAGAATTTTAAGTAAGCAAAATAAAATAGAAATGAGCAAACTAAATTGAAAGTAAAATGAGCATAATAAAAATAAGAAGACTACCATCCATCAGTGTAGACACACAAAGAACTACAAAGTTCCGTTTGAACATAGCACCAGCTGACTTATGCTCCTTCAAAAACTCTTTAAGCTCCCCTATTTTGATAGAGAGTGAGTTGATTTGGAATTGCTTTTTCCATTGCTGAATGACTTTTTTATTTCTGGAAAAATTATTTTTATCAATCTCTATGCCCCATATTGGCAACCCAAG